TTGAATCTGTGAATGATTCTCTGGTGAAGTATCGTCTAATCAATACATGTACTTACGATTTCTGGCACCACTTTATGGAAATGGAAGTTGGTAAGTAACGTTTCAACTATCGGCGTAGGCAGTTTATACTGTAAAAAAACAGTACACTTACACTAAAAGTACACTTTCAGTTTGGGCAGTTTTCACTGTAAATCTTTAGTGAAATGTTTGAGACTGTCTGAGTCTGCACTTTCAGCTTGGATAGTTTTCACTCTAAATCTTTTGTGAAATGTTTGAGACAGAGTTTGCACTTTCAGCTTGGGCAGTTTTCACTATAAATCTTTAGTAAAATTATGTTTGAGACAGAGTCTGCACTTTCAGCTTGGGCAGTTTCATAGTAAATTTTAGTAATATTTAGCTTTCTCTGATACATTCTGTGTAATCACTCACACTGGTGCTTAAAAGGTACAAGTTTATTTAATTTCTTTCTAATTTTTTGTCCAGATGAATTCTCAGTGGTCTTTTTTCCAAAATGGTAAAATTTAACCTCACAGTAACTCTTGAGGATGCTCTTGGTCAACTGAAATATAACATGATTTTCACCAACTGGTGAGTCACAAAAATATGGTGATCTAGCTCAGTAAAAAGACTGCATATGCACAATGAAGCCAGAACATATGGACAATGAACAATGAAGCCAGAACAGAAGTGGTCAGAGCAAACAAGTGTCTGCTTTTTGAGAACAGAACAGTATGGACAATGCAACCAGAACAAAAGTGGTCAGAACATATAAACATCTGCTTTTTGGGTGACCACTTTTCTTGATGAACATTTTGTATCAACTGTTTTCATAGTAATTCATCCTTAAGGATGTTTATCATGTTAATGCAAGTCTAATTTCAATCAATATAATAGTATACTGTAAAAAACTAAAAATAAATTGCTTACTGATGAAATGTCCTGGGAAGTTTTCTTTTGATTTTTTATTCTGTCAATTGACCCTTCACTATTACTTCTTATACTTTTTGCATCAGGAATGACTTTACCCATTGCTATGAAATTTTCTGAGTTTAATTCAAATTTTTAATTTCAATTGGCACCAAAACTTCTTCAGGTCTCCAAATTTTTTTAAAAATTGGATATTTTTTTAATGATATTTACAGTAACCACTAAACTCAAAAGGCAAAAATTGAGAGTTTATCATCTTTTCATTTCCTGAGAGTACTGGCAAATTTATTTTATTTTTTTAGAAAAGTTTAATTATTGTGCATCTGATGAGTCAAAGAATTAGAAAACACTATTACACAAAGTCAAAAGTAATACTTTATTATAACAATTATAGAATTATTTATACAATAGTGAGTGCAACTATATTTAAGATTATAAAATCTACTGTGCATCAAGCAGTTTATCCCATTGACCTTACAATATACAATAATGCAAGAAGTAATGTGTCTCATTACAAAATAGGGTTTCCCAAAGCAGTTCTAAAATTCAACTGATTATCAATGACCTATGCTGTTAATAATTACAGTAATTTGGCAGTTTGATTGCTTGAATTAAAAACAAAAGGTCTAGGACTCAACAGAAAGAAATATGTCTTAACATCAAATATTAAAGATAGTTTGAAGCATTCATACAATTGAAGGTTTTAGAAAGTTTGATTATCAACTACATTTACATAAAGCAATAGCAATTATGTTATTTTGCCTGCGAATATATAAAAAAGTTGCAATTATTCTTCTCTAGCTTCTAATACATTTTAATCTTGATGTGATTCCATGGAACTATAAAATAATATATGATATGTTGTATGTATGTAATAAATATACAAATAGTAAGGAGTAAGAACCATTTTTGGTGTCAATGTTTTTTATATATCGACTATATCTAAGATTTTAAGTCTATTTTTGCCATTGGGCTATTCCATTTAATATCCGTACCCCCCCTGTCGAGGATACATGTTTTTCATTGTCATACCCCTGAAGAATTCCAAGCTCAAAACTGTTTACCCCTGAAGAATTCCAAAATTCCAAGCTCAAAACTCTTTACCCCTGAAGAATTCCAAGCTCAAAACCTTTTACCCCTAAAGAATTCCAAAATTCCAAGCTCAAAACCCTTTACCCCTGAAGAATTCCAAGCTCAAAACCTTTTACCCCTGAAGAATTCCAAGCTCAAAACCCTTCACCCCTAAAGAATTCCAGGCTCAAAGCCCTTTACCCCTGAAGAATTTCAAGCTCAAAACCTTTTACCCCTGAAGAATTCCAAGCTCTGAAAAATTTCAATCTCAAACCTCTTTTACCACTGAAGAATTCCAAGCTCAAAACCCTTCACCCCTGAAGAATTCCAAGCTCTGAAAAATTTCAATCTCAAACCTCTTTACCCCTGAAGAATTCCAAGCTCAAAACCCTTTACCCCTGAAGAATTCCAAGCTCAAAACCATTTACCCCTGAAGAATTCCAAACTCAAAACACTTTACCCCTGAAGAATTCCAAACTCAAAACACTTTACCCCTGAAGAATTCCAAGCTCAAAACCAAAGACCCCTGAAGAATTCCAGGGATCCTCGACAGGGGGGGTACGGATATTAAATGGAATAGCCCATTGATAAACTGTGACTAAAATATGTTTTTCAGTGTCGCTGTCTTTTACAAAAGAATATGCAAATACATTCACAATTTTGCCATGAAGCAATGACGATAGCTCAAAATGTTTTATTTGGAATTGGTGGAACTATATTTATATGTACATCAACAATGATGGTTTGTCCATAGGGTTTGTCCTATGGGCGCCCTTCATACGGGTCGACAAATATTGATATTTTCGAAAAAAATAATTAAATTCTGCCTACCCATTATTCACAATATGAATCTCCAACGATCTGGCATCATTTACAACAAGTTGCACACTTGAAAAACCAAAATTGACTGCATAAAAGAGGATTTATTGTCAACTTTGTCCATTTCCGCAATACAAAATATACAAATTATCACGCTCGGTGGGAACGACCAATATGGCCGCCGCACGTAAACTGCGACTGCGATCAGGCTTCAATTTTCGCCTGCCTACAGGGTGGGATGCGCTATCTAGTGTATATGAGATATCTATGCGGGCACCGCATTTTAGTACTGTGTCTGGTTAACTTATGTATTCGTAAACATTTATACTCGATAGTCGATATGTAAATGGTACATTATATGGATCAAACTGGAACAAAACAAAAACTGAAGTTTTAATTTTGGGAAATTTGTATATAAATAAATTTATATATAAATTATATAAACCCTAAACAGCTCATCGATTTGTATGTTAGCGCTATTAAAAGTAGACAATATTGAACAGTGATCTGAAGTTATCATGCAACTGACAACAATGTTTTATCTCAAAATACTTGCATATGATGATATTTTACAAATATATCGGGATTTTTGGACCAATTTTAAACTTAGCAAGGCAAAAAGTCTCCACTCAAGGATAATATCTTCTTCTCAAAAGGTAAAATACTTAGAATACTTGATTAAATTGTTTACTTCGACGGTATGTAAAGTAACAGCGTTTGACTTGCAAACCGTCAAAAACGGACGATTTCAACGCGCTGTCGTTTATCGCGTATTCATTTGCCAAAAGAAGTATTTACGTCAATTGAAACTTGAAAGCTTGTTTATTAAGGAGCCAACAAGTAGAAGCATGATCGATTTGGAGCTTTATCGCATGGTGAAAATCGGTTTTGTTAAGACGTTATCGTAAATGATGTAAGATAGTGTGCTCCAAAACTACGATTATTTCTATTCCTAAAAGTAACTCCGACTTCCTGTAACTCACGTACCCGGTCCTTTGAATAACCGAAAACAAGATTTTTAGGGTTTTAGATCGATTAGAAACGGTTGTCGTCGTGAAATTTGTCGGTAAAATCAGCGCATATTTTCCCAGACAAAATGGCGATTTAGGGTGGTCGTGTTAAAACGGCATTTTCTCAAAGTTAAAAAAGCATTTGACCTAAAAAAATATATGGTGCATTTTCAGATATAACAAGGTATATCTGGGCAAAATTTGAGCAAAATCGATTTTTCAGTCGTGGCCGCGAAATATCTCATATGTTCGATTTTTACTGACATTCACTCGCTTTTTAAAAACAGCAATTTACTAATAAACATCGAGCAAAACAAAGAAGAATCATTTTTAATAATATGAACTGACATGAACATAACAGTCCGTTCACACTGGAGGCAATGCTACAACGCTACGCTATTTTCTAATTTAAACTTACCTTTTCAGATATGAAATTTAAACTTACCTTTTATACAATACATAAAAACACTGTAAAAAGTGACTAAAACCTTTCCAAATATTTAAATTTTGTCGACTACGCCACAGAGTAAGGGACTACGCGCTGGATTTATTAGTTTTACGCATCACTGCTCATGCGCATAAATAACCTGCGAGCAGGCTGGGCAGAATTCAACCTGCGAGCAGGCTGGGCGAAATTCAAACCGCCCCAGCCTGGGGATCGGGCAGGTTAGAAAATGTCCCAGGGAGGGGATCAATTTTATAACCAAACCCCCTATACTGTCCCGGCTCCCCCCCCCCCCCAACGGGGTTTACATTGATAGGTGCATAATGTACCATTTTACATATCGACTATCGAGTATAAATAAATTTTTAAGAATACATAAGTTAATTATTAAGCAGCTGTTAACAGCGTGCGTGTGAAATGAACATTAATCCATACAAGGATTTGTTATTTTATTATATATTCTACCACCTCAAACCAAGCCTGAAAATAAGCGGCCGGTCACGGACATTGTTCGGTACGAAAAGGTAATTGTCCGGCACAACTGTTTCCTTGCCGGACAGTTTGTCTGGTAGCATGCACATTAATATACTATTGGTGAAACTGGCACTATTAAAAAATTCATATATTTCTAAATATTTGCATTCCACATTTAAAAATTATGTGAATTCAAATTTCATCGCGTATGAATATTAAGATAATATGCCTGTGAAATGCTGTGAAATTTATGTTCCGTTTTATATTCCGTATGATATAATTGACTAGCTATAGTGGCTTTAAAATTGTTGTGACTAAGCTTTTCATTGGCTTCTTTTATTTCAAGGACCACTAAAAATAGGTACGCAGTGCGTACATGTTGCATGCCATCTGAAACTTAGCCTGAATACAGACCTTCGTTTTGCTCGCCCTAAAATTCGCGGGTGGGAGGCGCAAAACGAAGGTCTGATGAAAATCATGTCAAAACGCTGTGATATCTGACCGCCTGGTGGTCGGAATAGCTGATTGCCTAATTCACAGGGAAATGGGTTGTGATTGGTTGGTCGCTAAACATGAAAAGATTTGAAAAGATCACAATATATTTCAACGGTATTCTCAACTATGCATATAGTGTAATATTCTAAATATTTTGTGAAGCCGAACAATAAATAGCTAACAGTATCTACCGTCTAAAATTAAAACTAGAGCGAGAATAGAGCAGACTTGTCAAATACTTCAGCGTTGTGTCATTCCGTTGTAATATAGGCCTATAATACAATAATTTTTATACTATTTACGTTTTGTGATAATCATAATAAAACTGATACAATTATACACATAGGCCTATGTGTCAGTGCAATAGTGCGTTTAAATTTGCATTTCGATAACATAGCACGTACAAAATATTATGTTTAGATTTTAGCATTGTATAGCGGTTTCAAAATGTATAAATTGTAAGAGTTCGGTCCTGTTTGGATGCAATTCAACAATGGGACTACCCTGGATTAAAGACCCTCCCACAGTAAATAATAAATTGAAATGTCGCGAAGGCTCTGGTTCAACGGGGCGATTCTTTGATTAAACCGTGCTAATCACAAAACAGAATTAGTGTTTTTAGTACAGAATCTGTACTAAAACCACTAATTCTGTTTTGTGATTGGCGCGGTTTAATGAAAGAATCGCCCCGTTGAACCAGAGCCTTGGCGACATTTCAATTTATTATTTACTGTCGAAGGCTCTGGAATCCAGGGTACAATGGGACCAGGCCATTGCCAAATTTGCGTACGCAGATTTTATTGCATTTATAGAATGTGTTGAAAATGTTGTATTATTACTAGCTGTAACTGTTTGAGTGCAAGGGGTAAGAGTACATAAAAGCAACATACTGCATGGGGTTACCAATATTTTTAATATTTATTCAAACATCCGTAATACAGACTCTTACTTTGTTTACAAACTTTCAATAAGTGAATCGACAACTTTCGTTGTATTTTTAGGTGTTACATGCAAATATGTCAATCATCATCGTTAATTATTGCAAAATGCAAAGTGGGCGGTAGAGCGTTTTGACATAATTCTCATCAGACCTTCGTTTTGCGCCTCCCACCCGCAAATTTTTGGGCGAGCAAAACGAAGGTCTGTATTCAGACTATCTGAAACTTCAACCTGATACTCAGGGTTTTTACTTCCACTCAGGGTTTTTATTTCCGCTATAAGTGAAAACCCTGAGTATCAGGTTGCTGAAACTTATGATGCGCTATAGCGCTTATAACCTTTGGTACAACTGGTGTTAAACTTAAAATGTTGATTCAATAAGTTTAATATCAATATATTTATTGAAAAATAGCTAAATAGCTATTATGTCAAAATAAGAAAACTTAAGATTCTCACACGAATTAGCCAACGGTGCAGACTCTAGCAGAAAAATGCGAACAGGCAATGTTTTTATAAGCGACCGTTAATAGTTAGTTGCAAGCGACGGTAATAATAGCATTAAAAAGGTCAAAGTGGGTCAAGGTATTATCGAAAGCGATTGACTGTTAGATTTCCTTTACAATTTAGCTTTATTATAACTTTTTAAATTGAACGTATAAAAACCCGTGGAAACGGTGAATTACTATAATAGATTGAAAATGATTATTTATCATTTTGACGTTTGAGTGATTGAAATGAGTTAACTTACACTACATCGAATGTCATAGTGTTGAATGTCATGTTGAACCGTATGCGTACTTCACAATGGTTCCTACTTCGTTGTATTGAATTTCAATAGTATTAGCCTTCTATTTATAATTCAAATTTTGTTTGATATTTATATTTCATGTTATTTACAAAATGTGCTGTAGTTTTGAAGCTTTGTGCACAATATAATCAGTGCAAGCACAATGGCCCCGTTTCAGTTTGAGTATATAAAAATCGAGTATTTTGATAGCGTTGGGCTTGATATATATAAAATATAAACGCCTCAGTGAATATTAATCTGCAGTGCAAGCACAACGGCTCCAAAATCACAACAAGCACAATGGCCCGTTTCAGTTTTAGTATATAAAAATCGAGTATTTTGATAGCGTTGGGCTTGATATATATAAAATATAAACGCCTCAGTGAATATTAATCAGCAGTGCAAGCACAACGGCTCCAAAATCACAACAAGCACAATGGCCCGTTTCAGTTTGAGTATATAAAAATCGAGTATTTTGGTAGCGTTGGGCTTGATATATATAAAATATAAACGCCTCAGTGAATATTAATCTGCAGTGCGAGCACAACAGCTCCAAAATCACAACAAGCACAATGGCCCGTTTCAGTTTGAGTATATAAAAATCGAGTATTTTGATAGCGTTGGGCTTGATATATATAAAATATAAACGCCTCAGTGAATATTAATCTGCAGTGCAAGCACAACGGCTCCAAAATCACAACAAGCACAATGGCCCGTTTCAGTTTGAGTATATAAAAATCGAGTATTTTGATAGCGTTGGGCTTGATATATATAAAATATAAACGCCTCAGTGAATATTAATCTGCAGTGCGAGCACAACGGCTCCAAAATCACAACAAGCACAATGGCCCGTTTCAGTTTGAGTATATAAAAATCGAGTATTTTGATAGCGTTGGGCTTGATATATATAAAATATAAACGCCTCAGTGAATATTAATCTGCAGTGCGAGCACAACGGCTCCAAAATCACAACAAGCACAATGGCCCGTTTCAGTTTGAGTATATAAAAATCGAGTATTTTGATAGCGTTG